GGATCCCTCAGCCCGCCGCCCCCTCCAGGGGTCCCTTCATCCCCCCCCTCACAAGTGGATCCCTCAGCCCGCCGCCCCCTCCAGGGGTCCCTTCACCCCCTCAGCACCCCCAGGGGACCCCAGGCCCTCAGGGGTCCGGTCCCCCCCTCCAGGGCCCCGGTCGCCCCCTCCCCACGCGGTCCCTGAGGGACCCCCCGAGACCCCCTTTCCCCTTCCCCTCAGCCCCGGGGCCCGGCGGGCAGGTGCAGGGAGGCCCCTCGGGGCCGTCCCCGCCCTCCTTTTCCATTCACTGTGGATGGATAACCCCCCCTGGAGACCCCCCAAAACCCTCCCCAGCACCCCCCGCACCCCCCCCAAACCCGGTGGGGGGGCCCCGCCCAGCCCCGCTGCGGCCCCCGCGGGTCCCCCCGGGCGGCTCCTCCCGGCACAGCCCGGGATGTGGGATAACCCTGGAGCGCCTGGGAACGCCGGGATCTGCCTGCCCGGGATCCCCCCAGACCCATGGGGAGCCCCCCCAAATCCATGGGGAGCCCCCCCCGTCCCCCCGCACTCCCTCGCTCAGCCCCCGGCGGGCTGCCGGGAGCTCCATCCAGGCGCTCGGATGGCTCGGGATTTTGCTGGAAAAAGCCTAATTTATGCGGTGAAAGGAGAAGTGCCCGGTGTGGCACGGTGAGGGTAGGCCTCGGTGTGCTGGAGAGGCTGGGATAGCGCCGGGAAGGGCTTTGCAGACCTAAACCGCTGAGTTTTCAAGCCTTTTCTGAAAGGCAGAGACCTTCCCCGTGTGCTCGTGCTTCAAAGCCATAAATTTGTTTCATCACTTTGATGAAATCCTTGAAGTCTCCCAGTCATTCTCAGGCTGCTCTGCCACCCAGATTTGCCTTCCTGTCTTTCCTTGTGATTTGAAATGGGTACAGAACTGTGAGGGACAACTGGGTTGTTTTTTCTTTTTCCTTAAAAATGGGGTGGTTGCACAGAGAGCTTAAAAAACGTTCGAGGGAGATTTTTGAATCCGAGAGGGGAACAGATTTAAATCCTGGTCCGAGGAGGTGGTTAAACCTTGTTTTAAAATGAGGTAATAAATACAGTGAGGCAATAAACCTGCTGAATGTGAAGCACAGGTAGAGAGGAGAGCGAGTGACTCCCAGGGGAGCGCCTGTGGAAGGGGGAAAAGCAGGGGATGATGGGGAATCTTGTGACTTTGGGGACCTGGAGGAACCCGTGCAGAGATGAGTAAGTTTGTGTCATGTGACAGAAATATTGAAAACGTAAATCTCCTCGTAGATCTGCTTCTAGCCCGGGGTTTTGAAAATGCCAGCCCGAGAAATTCCCAATCTCTTCCGCCTTAATCCCGGCCACCTATTCCTGTCTTCGCACCCAAGGTGCTGCTCCTCGGTCCTGCTACAGCTGTGGGGCTGTAAATGGGATCACTGAAATCATCCAGGTTAAAAATAACACTCGGGGGGAGGGGAGCAGTGGCTTTTTAAGCCAGCGTTGCTGCTGAGGAGAGGAGTGTTGAACAGCAGCCTTGGGATCCCCGCCTTGGATCCAGGGATAACCGGCACTCCGAGGCTTCCTCTGCCACTGGTGGCTGGTCTGCAGGTTTTAGTCCTGTGGAGGTGTTTTTAATATTGTTTGCCGTGCAGGGGGATTGCTCAGGGAATTCCTGGAGCGGTGGATACGCCTGGAAATGGGAAATCCTGCACTTCCCCACCACCGAGGAACAACAGGGGTCTGACAGGTTCCAGGCTGTAAAAAAAAAAACCCAAACAACCACCCCTCGTTCACATCCTGATGTTCCCACAGGAAGGAGGAGGAAAAAACCCAGAGGGCGAGGCTTTTAACAAGGATTTAACTATGTATCTTTATTTTGGATAGCTTTTAACACCCTAAACCAGGGAATCACCAGGCCGCTCCCAGCTGCTGTGGAAGGGAGGGCAGGAAGGTGGCTGAGGGGTCAGCGTTCACCTGCCTGCCTCAGGCTGGAAGTCTCCCTGGAGAGGTTTGCTGTGGCTGCAGAGCACAGGGAAGGCACAATTCCAGAAAATGAGAGGGCAACTGCTCTGCACCTTCATGGGGAGAAGAACAACCAGCTCACCCACAGTGCTGCATGGACAGGAACGGCCCCCTGAACAGAAAACAGTGACTGTGAGCATGTTCTTATTGAGCTGGGCTTGAGTGTAGAAAACAAAAAGACATCTGTGTGCTTTTGGGGTCAAACTGCTTCAGGGAAGGACCTGTTGGCCCTTTCTACCTGCACCTGGTGGAGGGGAGCTCACCAGAGATGTCCTGCTTTCAGCAAAGCTTGGCATCACTGTGTGTTCATTGAGGCAAAAAGGGATTCTGTGCTAAGCCACAAACTTTGAATTTTCCAGATTTTGGGTAGGGAAACACGTGTGCTGCTTCCTCTTGAAGATCCAGCTGTTGTTTTCCTGTAGCCAGTCAATAGTTACCAGCCCCTCAGCTCCAGTCCAGTTTGAGAATGGCTGGACAAGCCATAATCCACATCAAGGACTTAAACCAGAGGTGCTTTCTGACCCATGGGGTGAGTTCTGACACTTTGACACCAGATTAACCCCCCAAAAAGGGGGGAATACTTTTCATTCCGTGCATCAGAAGTGATTTGTTTGCTCTGTTGTTTTGCATCTTTAAGAGCAAAGTGGAATTAGTGCAGGCTGTGATGTTTAGTCAAGGTATTACAAGTAAACACTTGATCATTCTTACTCACACCAGTAATAGGATTTACAACCCTCTGTGTAGAATTTTGGTCTTTCAACTCGAGCCCTAAACAAGTGTTGCAGCCTTGGCTTTGGGGCAGGACACTTGTGGTGGCTTTAGCACCTATAAATAACTTAAAGCATTCTGTCTTTAGGCCACAGGAATAAATGCTGCACTTCTATGGCAACTCCAGGTAATCTGCAGAGGGTAAAACCTTTTATGATCCAAAAGATCAGATCAGATTGATCTCGAGGCCTTAAAAAGGAGTGATACCTGTTTGTGGTTTATTGTGGCATTTCTGGTGTTCAGGTCAGGAACTGGCCTTCTGTCCAGTATTGCTTGTTTCTGGATAAAGGAGTGGGACTGAAATCTGTCTCTCTGACAGTTTAATTTGGAGCTGTGCTTGGGAAGTATCTGGTGACCCATCTATTAAATCTTGTCCGGTTAGTCAAGATTTTTAAATAATATAATTAGTGCTCATATGAATATTTTTTTTTTTGAAACCTGTAGAGTTGTGTAACAATTACATAAACTGACAGTACATAATTCCCATTTATCACTGTTGAAAACCCCCAAAATCCTCAAATGAACTGTTTCCCAAGGACCCCTCATCCCATCTGGGACAAAGCGTGGATGTGGGAGAGTCCCAGTGCAGCTCTGGAGCTGGGGCAGAGGCGCCTGCTCACACTCCTGTGATTGTTCTGCCACTTATGTCATCTTGGAGCATTTGAACTCGATTTGTTGAGGGCGTGGGGATGGTTCTGAGTGAGCACAATTACGATTTCTCTGGGTGGAAATAAGTGCATTTGCTTTCTTTGTCTGTTGGGCTGAGATTGAGCCGTTCCAACGGGGCCTGGTTATCAGTGCGGGGCACTCGGGTTGCTCAGGGCAGGTCGACTTTTTTTTTTTTTTCCACTCTGCTTTTGGCTCCTTGGCAGGGCTGGAACAAAGAGGGGATGTGTGGCCCTTGTGTCCTGCAGCACCACAAACATGAGTAACCAGCAACAGAAAGAAAACAGCTGCCCTCCCGAAGGTTTTTTAATCTCTTAAAATTCGAGTTCTTAGTGCTCCAAACAACCACCTGCCTGGCACAGGGGGCAGAGCTCCAGAAGGGTGCACACTTGTCTCCCAACTTCCTGGTATTTCCCTGTGGATAAACTCCCTTGCCCTGGAGAGTGTGGTGGGGTGATTCATTTCTCTCACTGGCAACTACTCTGAGGAGTTTCTTGGTTGCAAAACAACTTATCTGTAAAGAATTTACAACCCAAGGTACACAGCTCTTTTAAATATCTTTTGCAGTCCCTTTCATGTATCTTAGGGTATATTTAGCAATGTTTAACCTGTATCTGTTGCTTTTTATAGGTTGATTATGCAGTGTGTGCCAGCCTAAGGAATGTATAGTCTGATCCTGCTGGCTGCCAGTTAAAGATTAATTGTGACACTCTTTGTGTGTAATCCTTGAAAAATGAAGCTTGATGGGTGTAGTATTTGTGCTCAGTGTCTCCTGGGGAGAGGGGAAGTTGTCCAGGATAAATAATACATGGTTGTGTTATCCTGTGTTGTAACTTGCATTTCAGGCACATGAAATTAAACCTGAATTTGCATTTCCAGCCAGTGAAAATTAAACCTGAATTTGCGTTTCCAGCAAGTGAAATTAAACCTGAATTTGCATTTCCAGCAAGTGAAAATTAAACCTGAATTTGCACTTCCAGCAAGTGAAATTAAACCTGAATTTGCATTTCCAGCAAGTGAAAATTAAACCTGAATTTGCACTTCCAGCAAGTGAAATTAAACCTGCTTTTAAGAGTTAAAGGTACCGAGCTGAGTGTTCAAATCTGGTGCTTCAAAGCCAACGCCTCAGGGCTCTCCTTGTGCCACCAGCTCAAAAATAGGGGTGTCTTGCCTTTCTCCCCCCTCAGAAGGGCTCTTCCAGCCCTGTAATTCCCAAGGCTGGGAGGTTGCAGTGCTCATGTACAAAGGGATTTACTTGGCTGTGTGAATTTGACACCTCTGCACCACGTGTGAGAGCCACACAGGGGCTGGATGCTCTTTGGAATGAAGGGAATTTTTTCCAGTGGGCCAATCAGTCCTGGCGTTGCTAATTTTACCCCTCAGCTCCCAGAAATTTGCTGGAGATGCAGATTAATAAAATCTCTTCTCTCAGGTTTAAATTCTTAAACAGATACACCCTGGAACACAATTTTAGTTGTCTATTTTTAGAGAGTAAACTGCTAAAAACACACGTGCTTGTTACAATGCTGCTTTTAGGAAAGGGCTGTGGGGCTGTGTGTCAAGAATTGAATTATCTGGTCATGTTTGTGGCCCTGCAGAATTAGTTTTGACTCCGGGAGATCTCTTTGGATGCACCTCATCCTGTATTTCAGGTAGGCTGGCATTCCACTGTAGCCATTCAAGTCCCTGTTCCTGATGTCCCAAGAAGGTTTTTCCATCAAACCCTTTTCCTGCTCTGATGAAAATCTTCGAGTCCTGTTTGGCAGAGCCAAATAATGAACATTTTTAGCTCTTCTGCCATCAAATGATGTTACCTTGGGAAAACTTCTGGGGGGGAGCTTCAGCTGTTACCTCCTTTTGGCTGGGATTTTCCTCCCCCCTGGTGTCTGTGCCTGGCTGATCTCAACAAGTATTTGAATTCTGATTAATTCACCGGAGTTTCATCAGAAGCCAGAGGTTTATATTCCTTTATTTCAGATATTCCTGGTGGTTCATCTGAGTTTTAAGTGTCAACCCTGGGCAGAGCTGCTCCTTGTGGGCATTTAGATGTTGCTCTTCCCTTGATTAACCTCTCCTTGCTGAAGAGTACATTTATTATGTTCCAGGGCAAGGTGAAGCAGGGTGACAGCCCCACATATTCACCTGGGTAATTGCTTACACCTCATGCAGAAAGATGCTTTTTTTTTTTTTTTTTTTGCCCTTTAATACGATTTCATTCATGAAAATCACTCCAGGGGCAGAACATCTGTCTGGGGAAAAAAAAGCAGTTCCGAGGTATCGCTTCCAGCAAAACACATGGATTCATTCCAGGCTATCCCTGGTGTCTGCAGCAATTCAGCTGCAGGTTCTTGTGACATCAGGTGGTCATAAGTTAAGTATGTTGGGCGGGTTCTGGTCCTGTTTTTGTTCTCACAGGTGTGCCTGCACTTCAGGATTTCAGTGGCTCAGAGGGAGGAGGCTCACGCTGGAGCCTGGGTGGCAACAGGAGAGCTCATTTTCCCCTCTGAGCTCAATTCTGGGAGCCTCAGGAGGTGCTGGGCCACCCCACTGTCACAATTCCTGCCTGCACCATGAATGTCACCCTTGGTTTTTTCGGGAGGCGGAGGATAAACTTTTTTTTTAGCCTGCTGGTTCCTTTAGTCCCCCGAGGTGTTTCCTGGTTGTTGCACTCGTGTAAAACTGGCTTGATATTGGTAGGAAGTAAGGAAAAAAAAAAATCCTAAAAATAGGTGATTTTTCTTTCCAAGGAGCCTCTGAATTGTCTCTGCTTAAACCTAAACTTTCTTATTTTGCAGGCACAGTGCTCCACTGAAAGTTGTGTCCTCGGAAGAGGCTGTTTTTTAAAGATCAAGCCTATTGTTAAACCCACATTGTCTGCAATTTGGACAGCTCTTAATGCATCTTGAACTCCGAATCCAGAGAGATTTGGATTTATAGATTGAATAAAGGTCTCTAGACATTTATAAAAAGCTTTTCTCATTCTGATTTTATTGTGTTTTAGAGGACCTTGAAAAACCCCAAACCCTAATATTGTGATAAAAACTGTTGGGCTCTGATTTTGCTCCTGAAGGGAGTGTTGCAGTTGTTCAGTTTCCTGGGCACAGAACTGGTGAAAAAAAAATAAGATTTCAGGTTATAAATCTTTGCTAGAAGCATCAAATCTACTCTCTCTCACCTCAGCTGTTGCAGTTGCTCGTTTTGTGCTTTGTTTTCAGAACCAGGTTGGGTTTGTTGGGTTTAATCCCATAAAGAGGCAACGTGGCTCTGCTGCACCTCTTGGTGTGACACCACTGCAGGGCTTGGAATGATGCACTAATAATTACACCTTTAAACCTTTGTTTAGGAAATCAGACAATCCCATGGTTGGGAGTAAACCAGAGGGATTTGCTTCAGGAGCAAGGTTGGTGTCTGAGGTTGGGAAGGAGCTCCTGGTCAGGCTGGTTTGTGTTCCCCACCCTCTGTGGGCTTTGGGTCTCCCTGGAAGAGCTGGTGGGAGCCCTTTGGCTCACAGCTGGATGTGGGAACACACCTATTAAGTTACACATTGAAATTTCTTAAGCCTCCTTATCAGTGACTGGGCTGGAATCTGGTTTTTATGTCCCACATGACTAAGGGACCATTCCCGGCTAGAGCAGCTCCGCACGGAATAGCTGCTTCCGGCTCCTCCTCGCCCAGATCCCAGGCCCTGATGGCAGAGGGAGAAGTGTCTGCTCCAGCTGGGACACCTGAGCTTTTTATGGTGCCTTTCCGTGCCATAAACCCGTTTCCATGGAGATGCCAGCGGGGCGAGCTGGGCTGGGCACACGGAGCAGCTCCTGGCCCAGGGGAACCAGCTGCCACTGCAGGGAGAATCCTGGAGTGGTGTGGGTTGGAAGGGACCTTTAGGACCATCCAGTTCCACGCAGGGACACTTTCCATTAGATCAGGTTGCTCCAAGCCCCGTCCAACCTGGCCTCGGACCCTTCCAGGGATGGGGCAGCCACAGCTTCTCTGGGCAACCTGTGCCAGGGCTTTTCCACCCTCATGGGGAAAGATTTCTTCCCAATATCCCATCTAACCCTGCCTTCCGGCAGTGGGAAGCCATTCTCTGTGTCCTGTCACTCCAGACCCTCCTAAATACTCTCTCTCCATCTTTCCTATGAGTTCCCTTCAGGTCCTGGAAGGCCACAGTCAGGTCACCCCAGAGCTTCTCTTCACCAGGCTGAACGATCCCAATTTTCCCAGTCTTTCCTCCCAGCAGAGCTGCTCCATCCCTCTGGATGTTTCCTCCCCTGGATTCGCTCCAACAGCTCCGTGTCCCTCCTGTGCTGGGACCCCAGAGCTGGAGGCAGTTCCAGTTGGTTCCTGCCCTGTTCAGACACGGATACCCGGAACGATGGATCCGGGTGTCAAACAGGCATTTTAAGGTTATAACAGTGAAGAAAAAGAAAGGGGTGGAAGTCCTTGTGCTCTGAGGAGCTCACTCTGGGGTAGGAAGCAGCTTCTTCGTGCACATGTTAAATCTAGTTGGCTGTTACAGGAATTTTTACTCCTTTATTTAAGGAACTGCTCTTGTCTCCTGCTCGAAATCGTGTGCAGGACTAGCAGGATCCCCAGCTCCATCCAGCGTGACCATTCTAGTGGTTTCAGCCATCGATTTCTAAATAATTCCCTCTTTAACTCCCAAATATTTTCCCCCTTTGTAATTAATTTATATTTCATTGGAATTCCTCTGCATTCAAACAGAGAGCTGGCACAGCCCCACAGTTTATTCCTACGCCGGGAGCTGGCGCTTGGTAAATAAAGCAGAGCGTGTGGAGCCAAGAGCTGGCAGAAGGGAAGCTCACAGGGGAAGGGGAAGGAGAATCTCCTGGCAGATGTTTTTAACCTCGGAAGTGCTCGCAGTGTCGAGCACCCACAGGGGTTGTGTCTCTGCTCATCTCCCGCCCCAGGTTTTTGCTCTGGTCTCCCACAGATCATCTCCAGAGGAGGCTGACGGGCTCTCCACCCGTTTCTCATTGCTCTTGGATTCCCAGGCGTGTACAAGGGCTCCATTGTCAGGCTTTCAGACCCCTTTTTACCCGGCAGTTCACTCCCTTCAATAATTTATGGTGGGATAAGTAGGCCTGGGATGGCTGAGCACGGATCGAGCGCGCGTGTCCCAAGTGCTCCTTCACGGCTCCTGACCACCAAATTCCACCTCAGGCGCTTGGTGGAGGGCTTCTGGGATGGATGGGAGGTGGGAATGCCTTCCTCAGGGAGCTTTTCCTCCTGGTGCTCACGGAATTTCTCTTCCAGGTGAAAAATGCAACCAACCAAATCGTGATGAACTGCGCCGACATCGACATCATCACGGCCTCCTACGCGCCGGAAGGGGACGAAGGTAGGGATGAGGATCCATTCCTGGCATTCTGGGAGCTGCTGCCAACGGCCAGCGACTTTGATTCCGTAATTACATAACATTTGATAAGCTCAGGATTCCTTATCTCACTTCCTCACTGCCATTTGCATTGTGTTAAAGAAGTTCCTTCAAGCCTCCATGAAATCTTGATGGGACACCCCTGCAGGAGCTGGAAAGGTGCACTGATAGTTATATTTGTCAAAAAGTATAAACCTTTAATAGTGTTTGTTAAACAAACATGACTGGGAACAAGCCAGAGGTATTTGTTCTGCTCCCTTGTGCCCGAGGGTTGGAGGCAGAGGATGTTGGGCTGGTTTGACACTGATCTGACACTGGTTTGAACGTGATCTGCACCTGTGGATTTGGGAATATTGACAAAATCCATGACAGGGATTAGATAAGGAATGCATTGATAACACCCTGCAGAAGGAAATACCCATGGGGAAGGATTTGGGAAGTACAGAAGACACTTAGTTGTCACTTAGCAGGATATTCTGAGTGTAGGGCAACAGGGAAAAGGGTGCTTGTGTGGAGGAGACAAGGATTGGGATCCGGCCCGGTGGGAGGCTGGAAGTTCCTGGGGAAATGGGAGCAGCAGTGCCTGTTGGTAACACTCAGCTGGAGTCATTGACTTCCCCAGCTGTATTTTGAGGAGATTTGCAAACACAAAAAGGGTTTTAGCAGCTGAAGCACAAAATGAAGGAGGTGTGCAAAATAAGCTCCATGAATGGTCTAACAGTGATCAAAGCCTTCCTGGTTTTTTTTACTGGAGCATTTGCTTTTTCAAGCCCAGCAGCTCTTTGGAAGGAGTCCCTGCCCGTGGCTTTTAAGGTCCCTTCCAACCCAAACCGTCCCGGGGTTCCGAGTGGACTGTCTGCAACAAGTCTTTGCATTTAAATGGGTTTGACTTCTGTTACTTTTAATATGATATTAGAGCAAGCAGAGGGCTGTTTGGGTGCAGCAGAGGTGAGGAAGTGTCCCGAGGAAGCAGCTTTGGGAGGGTGTGTTTGGAAAAGCCGAGCTCAGCTCAGGAAGCGCCGGCACAGCCAGAGGGAAGGGAATGACTGAGGGGCCTGGAGCTGGGCCACCCCATTCCTGCAGGGAGAGAATGGAGAGCTGTGCCCTACGTGCTCTGGGTTGTACCCTGGCACTCCAACGGTCCCAGCCTTCCCCAGGGAGCTGGCTGGGAGCAGGGTGTTGCCAAGCACTCCTGGAGCTATTCCTGATCTGAGGAAAGAGGAGATAACAGGGGTAGTAAGAGCAGAGTGCACCTGGAGTCTGTTCCCTGCCACAGGCCCAACCCCCTGGGAATGGCTTATTTTACCATTGAGAAAATGAGAATAGAAGGGAAAAGTACCTGGGAATTAAAATCTCTTGCCAGCCAAATCAGAAAAAACCCCCATAAAATAGAGAAGATCTTTTGTAACTTGAAAGTATTAATAGTTGAGCTTAACAGAGACTTAAACCAAAGGGTGCTGGGATTGAGTTTCTCTGGCTTAAATTCCTTCATTCCTGGTTTTTTGGATAGCCCTGAGTGTGGCTCTCTGGACACACAGGGGTTTGAGTGCAGCACCCAGGCCCTCACAAGCTGTGCTGTCATAAATGCTCCAGGTGTGGCCTTGCTGCACGTTCACTAAAATTATCCCCAGGCTTCAGGGGGTTAAAACATATCTCTGGGGTTGGGAAGGTGCCAAGCAGTGTAATGGCTCTGGAAGGAAAATTGCATGGAATTGGCAGGGTGTTTGCTGGCACCTGTTGATGCAGCTCGAGTCAGTCTCAGTAATGCTCCTATTGTGCCCAGCTTTGGGATGGTAATTGTATAACTGCTCTCAAAAACTCAGGTGAAATGTGGTCCAGGGAAGCCACAGAAATATCAGCCACTTGGTTGGGATTTAATTCCTTAGGTGAGCCTGCTACCAGCTGCCTGGAGAGTGTGTGTGAAAAGGAGTGAGAAGTTAGGGGTGTTTCCTCCTTTAAAGCTCTTCTTTAAATCTCCTTTAAAATTCTTCCCTAGTGGAGAATTGTTACCTCTTGGTTCTGTGTCTCAGTGGGGGAGAATTTGTCTCACTCTTGGCTTCAGTTTGAGAAAAGGTAGAAGACAATCAGTCACTTATCTCCTTTCAGGTGTGATTCTGTCCCAAAAAGTAGGTGTGGGGAAAAGATCCCTGTCCTTTGTTTCAGGAGGTGATCTGTTGATTTTTGTGCAGAATGGTTATTTATTTTCCTAATAATTCTTTCTAATCCCGAGTGGGCTCCTTGTCCCCCTATTCACCTTCTAAAGATGGATACAGCAGAGGGTAGGACTTGGCCTTTGGAATTTTAATGCAGATTTGCAGGGAAATCAGATTATTGCCCAACATTTGTCGGGAAGCTGAGGGAGGATCTGCAGCTTTAAAGTCAAAGTAAAGAATTTTGCTGTGTAATCCCCCATCGAGCGACAGCGAGGAACAGATGGGGGGGGGGATTGATTACTCAGGACTTGGGAGCAGAAAAATCCTGTTTCATCATCAAACTGGTGCAGGGATTTGTCAAGTGGGGGTTGTGGATTTGCTCTGTGTGTGCCAGGAATTCTGTAATGGAACA